GATGACAAATATGGTCAATAATATAGTGGGTAATACCGTATATATAATATTATCATATTTGTGAATAAAAATTTCTTATTAATAATATTAAATAAACTCACTATTATAGGTGTTTGTGTTGACACCTGACCGAAATATTCATAACTAACATTTGTCTGTGATGACGAATACTAATACGATTGGAATCTTAATAAAATTTTTCATTTTTTCTTCTTTCACTTTAGAAAGTATCCAAGTAAATATTTGTTTGTGATGACAAATATGGTCAATAATATAGTGGGTAATACCGTATATATAATATTATCATATTTGTGAATAAAAATTTGTTATTAATAATATCAAATAAACTCACTATTATAGGTGTTTGTGTTGACACCTGACCGAAATATTCATAACTAACATTTGTCTGTGATGACGAATACTAATATAATTGGAATTTTAATAAAATTTTTCATTTTTTCTTCTTTCACTTTAGAAAGTATCCAAGTAAATATTTGTTTGTGACGACAAATATGGTCAATAATATAGTGGGTACCTAATACCGTATATATAATATCATCACAGTTGTGAATAAAAATTTCTTATTAATAATATCAAATAAACTCACTATTATAGGTATTTGTATTGACACCTGACCGAAATATTCATAACTAACATTTGTCTGTGATGATGAATACTAATAATATTGGAACACTTTATAAAATTTTTCATTTTTTCTTCTTTCACCTTGGAAAGTATCCAAGTAAAAATTTGTTTGTGATGACAAATATGGTCAATAATAGTTGGTTATACCGGTATATACTATTATCATAGGTGTAAATAAAAAATTGTTATCAAGAATAACAAATAAACTTATTACTAGGTGTTTGTGTTGACACCTGACCGAAATGTTCACAATTAACATTTGTCTGTGATGACGAATACTAATAGTATTGGAATACTTAATAAATTTTTTTATTTTTTCTTCTTTTACTTTGGAAAATATCCAAGTAAATATTTGTTTATGATGACAAAAATGGTCAATAATATAGTAGGCAATACCGTATATATAATATCATATTTGTAAATAAAAAATTCATATTAAGAATAACAAATAAACTTACCTATTATAGGTGTGTGTTGACACCTGACCGAAATATTCACAATTAACATTTGTTTGTGATGACGAATATTAACAATAGTGGATTACTTAATAAGTTTTTTCTTGTTTCTTCTTTCACCTTGGAAATTATTCAAGTAAATATTTGGTTGTGATGACAAATATTGTCAATAATATAGGTATTAATACCGTATATATAATATTATCACATGTATAAATCAAACTTGTTGGTAAGAATACCAAATAAACTTACCTACCCTAGGTGTTGTAATGACACCTTACCGAAATCTTTCACAATTAATATTTGTCTGTGATGACGAATATAAACAATAGTGGTTTACTTAATAAAATTTTATTTATCCTTTCTTGTCTTTGGAAATTATCCAAGTAAATATTTGGTTTGATGACAAATATCTTCAACAATATAGTTGTTAATACCGTCTGGAAAAATTATGCAGAAGAAATATTTGTTTGTGATGACAAGTCAGTACACCAATCACTGAATCGCCTTTTGGTAATGATCTTGACAAAAGAGTTGGAGAAATCAGGGCAACAAACACGTATTAACATACATAAGAGGTATGGTTATCCCACTTGTAAAGAAACCAAAACAAACAATTGTAGCTTCTGAAAATAAACGGTCTAATAATATAATATCTATTGTCGATCATAGTGATGAGCATATTTCCAAGGTTTTTGCAATTCCAATATCAGATGGATCATACTGTCTTATTTTAAACCTTGAAAATTTTAGTAAAATTGTTGGAAGTGTATATTTTAAGATAGAGATAATAAAGTGGTCAGACTTATATCTCAAGGTGGTTCATATCAAAATTGATTTCAAAGATGCTTACCATTTAATACCAATACAAACATATCGTAAATATTTAAGATTTCATGTAATGGCACTTTATACGAATACAACTGTTTTGCCTTTTGGTTTAAGTTGTGCATCTAGAAAGAGATTGAAACCTATTGTAGGAATTCTAAGAGAAAAGGGACAAATATATTTGGATGATTTTCTGATTCTAGGAAATTCATATAAAGAGTGTGAACGTAATGTAAAATTAACTGTAGAAATACTAACAAATTTAGGTTTCTAATCAATCATACTAAAAGCAAAATTACTCCTACAAGTGTGTGCACATATTTGGGGTTTACTTTTGACTCAAATAATTTGACAGTAACATTATCTAACAGCAAAAAATTGAAGATTTTAAAACGCTTAATAATTTTTGCAACTACCGAAGTGTAAAACTAGAAAATTTAAATTTTTATGTATCAGTATATATATGTGTGTATATATGTATGTGTATATATGTGTATATATATGTGTATATATATGTGTATATGTGTATATATGTGTGTGTATATGTGTATAAACTTGACGGCTATAAAATTTGATTTTTTACACAGAAAAATTATTTTTAACATTGAAACAATCATTTGGTACTCCATGCCACTCCACAAACCATTGGTAGATGGATTAAATTTATTCTACAACAGAGTGGCCTGGTATAAGTCAGTTTAAAGCATATAGCACACGCCACGCCGCAACATCTGCGACAGCTAGGAAAAGGGTCAGTTTTGACACTATAAGTTGGCGGCAAGGGGACGAAAAATTCTAAGAAACTTGCGAAATTTTACAATAGAAATTGCAATACAATTCTAAATAGGTAAAAAGAACCTGATTTATGTTAAGTACTATAATATTTGTAAGAATATACATTTAGTTTAAGGTTGGATTATGTTATGTAATGTGTTAACTAATTGCCTCAGGGCATTTTTAGATACGAACTTTACATTTTAGGAACATATAATATGTTAGGCATTATGATAATAAAGTTGTTGCAACGACTTTAAACATCTACAAGTTATTTATTTATGAGATGAGGCCGAATATAATCTTAAGATCAAACGAACTTACCTGAAGTGATGTTCGATCTTGATTATATGAGGCCTCATCGAAATAAATAAGTCCCAACCCACCCTAACAATTTGGAAAAATACCCATAATATGTTGCAACAACAACTTTCAAATAGACTGATACATTAGGGATCGAGACGATGGTAACAGGGCTCAAGTGGTTTATTCCTTCTTTAAAATGTGAGTAATTAGCCAGAGGCGGAGGTACTACAAGTTATTTATTTATTTCGATGAGGCCTCATATAATCAAGATCGAACATCACTTCAGGTAAGTTCGTTTGATCTTAAGATTATTCGAACATCTCTGCCGTCCAAGCTGATGTCTTTTAGAGCTTCGATCAATATAGAGTGCTTAACACGATCAAATGCCTTTTGGAAGTCAATAAAACAACAGTATATGTCTACGGATATACCTCGATATCTTTTAGCAAGTACCTTTATTCCAAATAGTGCCTCTCTCGTTCCAAACCCGTTATGGAAACCAAACTGAGTGTCATCCAGATATTCCTCGCATTTATTCTTATGTTATGTATCTTTTTATCCTCGACCATGTATTACCTTTAGAAAAATTTTCAATAAGTGGTTTAACAAACTGATGGTTCTATAATCAGCACAGATTTCCTATTGCCTTCGAATAGGTTGGTGACGTAATTTTCCCATTCTTTAGGTTAGTCCTCTACTTTAAATATTATTTTTACCATGTTCATCTTGTAGCAATGCAGTTTGTTTGGCTAGATATTGACTTCTTGCTTCTCGTATTTTACGTCGAATTTCTTTTTGTATGCTGTTGTAAAGCAGTAGCGCAGCTAGAATTGTCCTCTGGGGGGGGGGGGTTTGGTTGGGCACCGAAATTTTTTTTATACTACCTCCACCATTTTAAGTACCACCTAGGGTCCGGATGGGGGGGGGGGGGGTTTGACCTCCAAATTCTCTCCACTGGGTGCGCCACTGTTGTAAAGTATTTTGTTGTTTTTCGCTCGTCGCCATTGTTCCATCAGATCCAATATGTCACCTGTCATTCAAGCCTGCTTTTTTAGCTTTAACCTGCCTTGTAAATTTCTCACACATATTTCTTTTACTGTTTTTACGATTTTATTTAAGCCCTCATCGACATTTTGGTAAATAAATATCGATATTAATAAAAATAAATTGCCGAAATATCTGTACGGGCAATGGGCATCACTTCAGAATGACTGCACCAAATTAGATTATACTTTTTTTGTTGTGTTTATAATTATTATTAAGAGAAGGTTTGTAAAAGATAATTTTTTAAAAATTGTACGGAAAGACTTTAATAATAGTTGTTCTTTAATTTTAAATGAATGTCTTTTCCATTTTGTTGCATCAAAGCCATCCCATATGCTTCCATATAATTTTCTAAAATCACTGTGTGGCAATCTGGAGCTAAAAATATCAAACCAATCATTAACAGTTTTAAAGACCTCAGAGAACTCAAACCAGTTGTTATGATTGTTATACAAATCTAGAATTCTTACTCTAGAAATGTCTTGAGAAACTGTGTGTGAAAATAATTTAGTAGCAAATTTAATCTTTTGGCATAGAGCACCTTTGAAGTCAAAAGTGTTTATTTATTTTGTGAGCAAATTTAAATCTAGTTTTTCAGTATTAGTAACTAACTCCAAACTGAATTCTATTTAATTATTAGGTCACTTAATAAGAAAACAGAGTCAAATAAATAATTCTTTAACAATTTGATCATATAAAGCCCAACCTCGTGAGCACCAAGTCTCCGAACTGAGCCTAGCTCAGAGCGGAGATTTACACCTCGCTTCAATGAATTGTTACACCCGAATACAATTCTTAGGGGTAAACTTGTCTCACAGGCTGGGTTTAATTAAATTGCTTGCTTGCCACGTCGCATTGTTTTTCAGCGGTATGGGAAACCTTTTTTTACGAATATTCCTCGTATATATTTATATATAAAATAAAATAGTTATGAATATTACGACTTACTTCTTGTGCATGGGTATCCAAAAAACTACTAATTTCATCTAAGCAGGTCTGCACAGTAACGGAGTATAATCCGTGAACAATAAAAAGGTCTTGTGTACCTTGTCGAGTTCCGATTCTCAGATCGAAATATCTTATACCCCTAATTAGTTGGTCTTTCGCCATATATGTTTGCGTTCGAGACCATTTGACCATAAAAGCTTTTAATATGGGTCCTAAAAAACTTAATTTCTTTATTGCATCCTCAGCGTCTGGGGCCAGTTCCGAATCTGATGTAATTTCCGATGTAAAACTGTCATGCGAACCTAAAATAAAAGAACAAATATATATTTTCAAGTTTATTAAAAGGATATAGATGTAACATTGCTAAAATTTATATTCATATCTTTTTTAGTTTCAGATTACTTTGTTAAACATCTTTTTTACAAATTATTAACTGTTCGTTCTCCCGAGACCCGTGTCTGTTCTCATCGTTAACGTTGTCATTATATTGTATATATCTTCTTAATTAATCTTTGGAAACGATTACTGAACAAGTCCATTTACCAAGTGCGTGGGGATTCACATGGAGGAACGAAGGCTGCATGTAATTTATATACATATATATATATATATATATATATATATATATAATATATATATATATATATATATATATATATATATATATATATATATATATATATATATATATATATATATATATATATAATATATATATATATTATTCTTCTTCGCGTGCGTGCCATATCAGAACTATCCGAAGGTGGCGATCACCATTGCGAAGGCTTCTCGATCTTCTGCGATATGGAATAATTGTCCTGCATTTGGGATCTGAGTCCATTCACGAATTTTTTTTAACCAAGAAACTTGTTTTCTTCCTACACCTCTACGGCCCTCTATTTTGCCTTTGAGGATCAGTTGTAAAATTTTATATCGACTTCACCTTACTATAGGTCTCAGATAAGACATTTTTCGATGTTTAACAGTCTTTAGCAGTTCTCTGTCTTTGTTGACGCTCCTTAATACTTCTTCATTAGTTTTGGATATTTTAAGGTATCTTCAGCATTCGTCTATGAACCCACATTTACAATATTACATATAATCAGAAAATATGCCCGGATTTAAAGGCCAAATTCTTCTTCTTTAAGTTCCATCTTCTATCGAAGGTTGGAAATCATCATGGCTATGCGGACTCTGTTGACTGCCGCTCTAAAAAGTTCTGCACTACTGCATTCAAACCATTCCCTTAAGTTCTTAAGCCAGGATATTCTTCGTCTTTCCACATTTCGCTTTCCTCGGATTTTGCCCTGCATAATAAGTTGTAATAATGCGTATTTCTGCCCTCTCACCACATGTCCCAAGTAGTCAAGTTTTCGTCTTTTAATAGTTAATATTATTTCCGCCTCATTTCCTATCCTTCTAGTTACTTCCATGTTTGACATTCTTTGAATCCATGATATTCGTAGGATTCTTCTGTAACACCAAAATTTAAAGGCGGACAACTTATTCAGATGAACTTGTTTTAGTGTCCAAGCTTCCAAACCATAAAGAAGAGTAGAAAGCCAAAGGCAAAATACCAGTACATTTAAATCGGTTATAACCACTTTGCACTGTAGCTGTCTTGCCGTATGCTTCCTTGAACAAGTCGGATATCTGTAATTGTGTAACAACTCGCCCAGAATGTGCATGTAACCACTTGGACATTTCTTGGTTAAAGTGTATTTTTAAGAGTGCGAAAGAAGTAACATTAGGAGGCTGCATGAGATGAATGCAGTGTGGAGGCAGACAAATAATACTGATGCCGTTTTGTTTCACATATTCTAAAGCATCAATCACCTTATAACTTGCATGCCCATCAAGAATAAGAATAACTATTGTTGAGCCACACATATTTTTCCTCTGAAATATCATCATCGGTGAGACAAAAGTACCAATAGCATTAACGCAGCAAACAATAGTGGTGTTTATTTCGCGCTCTGCACTGGTTATAACGCCAACCTGCTTTCTATCAGTAGTAGCCAAAATTTTCTGTGGTTTTTGTACAGTAGAAAGGCCCGATTCATCAGCATTATATATTTTATGTGATTTGTAGAATACATACTTCAGAAGTTTTTCATATAACTATTGACTTGAAGCCGATCAAAGATCTGAACCCGGGCTGCTGAAGTAGGTTTAGGTTTCCCTAAAGATATATCTTTATTTAGTCTTAGAAATCCTTTCATCCATTGTTGTCCAGTCTTTTATTTTTATGAGTTATTAAATATTCAATTTTTTGTGCACAAGAGTGCTTTTTTTTGTAGAATAAATTATATCAGAGGCAAGACAAATTGATTAGTAATAAAATAAATGCAACAAAAATAGCTGCGCGTTCAATGCCACTACATTACTAATAACTATGATATGTCATGTTGTATTTCTCTATCTTATTTCCTTTTCATATTTCATCTACTAGTTGTACCTGTTAACGCAGATCCAATGGTTTAGTACCATATGTTTTTGGAATTACTTAGTAGTTTCACAGAGAAATTAAGTAACATGGAGCAAACATATAATGTAGACGATTCACTGCAGAAAATATGTGAAACTTTTAACAATATCAGAGAAGAACATCCAATGGGAAAGAAAGGGAAGAGGAAAAATCGTCTTGGTTCATGGCTACTAAAGTAGGTGGTACCTCTGTACGCTAACCACTGCAGTCGTTAAGTTTTAGGAGACATTGGTTGGACTTTCTGAGTTTAAATTTGTATCAACCCAAGTATTAGATGAAGCAGGGATGCTTCATCTAATACTTGGGATGCTAATAATAATTAGAGCTACTTAGTTGTTTTCATATTTTCTGCTGTTCTTTTCAGTTTTAATATTTAATTTAAATGGCTTTATAAGTTATCTGTCCAATGTACACTTTTACTTGACCAAACTTGTCTCTTCTATATAATATATATAAACTCTTTTGTTTCTATGTAGTATTCAACAAATAAAAATATCTAGAGCATCGACACAAAGTTATGAAAAATTAAGGGTTAAAAATATATGGTTCGTTATATTCATTAATCATTAAAAATTTTAGTTGGCGTTGTTCAAGCACTAATAATACTTTTATGTATTCATAAATTAACTAGTAACATAGGTCGTTGTAATATAAAATAATCAATACTATTAAGTCATAACCCAAATTAGTAAATCGTTCGTAGTGGTTTTATATTCTAAAGATTGACCGTAATTACAGCCTTACTTGTAGAAACTACGATAAGAATTTTTTTGATATTTTCATAGAACTTCAGAGAGGTTTAGCATGCAATCGCAATTTTCTTAATTACAGCTCTCTATCTTCTACAATAAGACGTAGTTTTTATTTCTCTATAGTTAGCTTATATATTTATTAGGAATACATTAAAGTGTTTAGTACAAGTTCAGAATTTTAGCCTTAGAAGTTATGGTAAATGGGTAATAAAACAATGGTCTTTTTTATAATAAAAACTAATGGAACTAGAGAAATAAGTGAACAAAATAATGCAACAAGAAAACTAATTTCGACGTACCTCATATAACGGTTGCATCTCTTACAATGATGAAGTAGACCAAATCTTCGAAACGAAGATCTGTAGGATATACAACGCGGCCACCAAGACAATTATAATAAAGACGATATAGATGGACTATTCTAAAATATTCTGGAATCCTGTATTTCAATATAAATATAATTATCACTGGTATACTGAAAGCCTGTCAATAAATATATATACATTAATTAGAACCGCTCGTTTTTTGTTTTAAACACGTTACAGTGGTGTTACGGTGTGAGGTAATTCATTTAATTACAAATAAATTGAGCAGTGACCCTTAAGACTTTTGAACTTTTGAAAACTATTGGTTGTCAATAATATCCATGAATTTCGGTAGAGATCTTTGTAAGAAAGAACGTTTAAAAAGTACATGTGTGCCTGACCAAAGATGCAGCTTGCAGAACTATCAGTATAACGGTTAGTGAACAGCTAAATTAAAAATGTGAAGACTACAGCGAGTCAAGAAGATCCTTTAGAAATGACTAAGGGTATTCTCAATAATTATGGAGATGACCCAGATAATTACTTTTTCATTCAGTAGAAGAAGCAGTTGTAATGAAAATAAATGAGAAATTCGAAAATGTTTCCCAAAGTATCAAAGAATTTCTTTCTTGATTTTTTTTTGAAAGAAACTTTTAGAAAAAAGGATGAGAAATTTGAAAATATTTCTCCAATGATTGGCGAAACTTCTAGAAAACAAAACATCGTATATACGAAAACGTTTCCAAAAGATTCGATAAAATGTCTCAAATTATTAAAGAAGCGACGAGAAATTTAAAAATGTTCATAGAACATTCAATAAAATAGAAGAGAAGATCAAACAGTTAGAGAGCATGATTAGCAATACGAAAATGCTACCACCAGTTAATGCACTAGTTGTAGATCCTGTAGGAAAAAAGAATCATCGAGATTACACCATTTGATAGAAAGTCTTCTTGGTCTATTTTCCTTAGACAATTTGAAGCTATTGGCCAGCTTTACGAGGAGCTTACAAGATCAATTCCTAAAGATTAAGAGATTTTTTAATGACCTTGTTTACTAGACTAGACAAACGTTATGGAAATGCCCATCTACAAGTCTAAAAAGTACAAATGAGAAGTGGAATTCAACGAGCAAGTAAAAATTTGCAAGAGTTTGAAGCAGACGTTGTTCGTATAGAGCGGATAGCTTATCCACAGACACCAGACAATATTTTGCAAGAAATCTCTGTAGATACCTTCGTCAATAGATGAAAGTTAAAAGACAATGAGTTATGAAAAGCTTTACCACTAGCAAGACCACTACCAAGTTTTAGATGAAGTGCTCTTTATTGCCTTAAAGCAGGAAACGGCTAGTCAAACTTCAATCATCAATAGTCATTAATGACAGCCTCAACAGCGAAAAGACGCCCAAGCGGATGATCCATATGAAAAAGGATTTTGGAATGGATGTTTCCATGAAAGTCCAGAAGTGAAGTTCTATTGGAGACAATGGAATTGCCTGGTATTAAAAGATAATCTTATCTATAGAACTTTTGATAACCATGATGGTACAGAATTTAAGCTTCAGTTAATTGTACCTAAAAGTAAACTGTCAGAAGTAGTGTGTCAGTTGCGAGACTTTGCAAAACGTTCGAGAACGGTTCTAATGGGGGAAGATGCTGTAAAAAAATGGTGCAGGAAATGTGAACTATGTGCAACCAGTACTGGTTCAATTGGTAAAAAGATCGCACCCATGAAACAGTATAATGTTGGTAGTCC